GAGAGAGAGAGAGAGAGAGAGAGAGAGAGAGAGAAAGAGAGAGAGAGAGAGAGAATGCAGAAGAGGGCAGAGAGGAGGGCAGAGAGAAAGGACAACCAAAATGTCTAGATTAAATAGGAAAGAGCCTCTGGAGAGAGGGCAGAAGGCAGGGGCAGGGTATGCCAGCTATACCCTGTAACAGGTAGGGACTGAGGGATGCTGGGAGAACTTAGAGGCCAGGTACACTTTGATTTGTTGACTAGACACCTCAGTGACCCCAGTCACTTAACAACTATGCTGTCACCTCATAAATCTATCGTTGACCTAAGCCTTAGTTTCCTTGGCTCTGTGGAGGGATTGCTCACAGAGGGCCATGCTCCCCTACTAAGCAGCATCAGAGAGAAGGGCAGGTTCCTTCCTGGGGGAGCCATTCCTCCAGAATTTAATGAATAAGCTGCCTTCTTTGCTTTTAGCCTGTTTTAAAAAGACAATTATTTGCATCTCTGACCTAAGGAGAAAAATCATTAACAGTTCCCTTACCAATATTTAAGATAAATTTCAGATTTCCTCAATTACTGGTAATTTTATAATTTCAATAATAAAACTGGCAGGGAAGCAGCAGTGGGCAATCCCTAGCTGCATTTGTATTGTAAGTTGTATGGCTCCTCCCTGGGAATCAGTTCCCACAACCCCCTGCAGCTCAGAGCTGAACTCAGGCTGCAGTGGTGAAGCTGAAACCTGGATTTTCACTTGGCAGCGAACAAGAAGGCATCTTTGAGAGTCCTGGGTCTGGCAAGCTTTTGTAAACAACAGGCCTCTGTGACGGCTTGGGCTACAGAGGCTCTCTCCATTCTCAGCATTTGTGCAGAGACAATGACAAGGTCTTAGTCTTACACTGAGCTCTTCTGTAACCAGGGCATTATTAAGAAAGAAAGACTCGGCCAGTAGGCAGACAGCACAAAATAAGGCAGCTTGTACAACACTTCTCCACTCGGAAGCAGGGCTTCCATTTTACCTTAAACGTGTTTCCAAGCCCCCATCAGGTAGGCTGTGTTCTGAGACACCCCAGGGGAAGGGGAGAAGACCAAAGGCAGCCACCAAACAATGAGAAAGGAAACTTGAGCTGGGCATAGCCTGACACAGATTCTTAGAGGACCACTAATCAGTCTGAGGAGAGATGAACAGCAGTTACCCTACAGCGGCTTTGAAAGCTTCTGAGAAGGTCTCCACCTACCAGGGTTCTCTGCTTAGTAATAGCTAAGACCCTGCTGTATAAAACTTCTGGTTTAAGACCCTGGAGAGGCTGTGGCATGGTACCCTCTCTTAGTCAGGGTTTCTACTGCTGTGAAGAGACACCATGTCTACAGCAACTCTTATAAAGGAAAGCATTATAAAGGGGCTGGCTTACAGGTTCAGAGGTTCAGCCCATTGCTGTCATGGTA